GCAGGGGGGACACATGGGATGGGATCTGTCAAATTTGCCCATGTTGAATCATTTCAGTGACGTGACATAAGGCAGTCCGCTACCAAGCATTGACATTTTTCTCCCAAAATCTTGCTTCATGAACCTGGCATGGTTAAAAAATGTATTAATTAAAGCATTGGAAATAACAATATTTCAAAACATATTTATTTTTCTTGTCATTTTTTCTTCATAGTACTCCTGACTTTTGAAATTGCAGTGCTGCTTTTTAAGTTTCGGATTTCTGCGATGGAGAATACTGAGATTGGGATTAATGCCCAATCTCCCCAAAGTGGTGTCTAGTTAGGATCAGTGCCTTGAGTCTTCTCCAGAGTAGCAGCATTGGAGGATAAACCCCAATATCCCCAAAGTGGTGTCCAGTTAAGATCAGATGTACTCCAGAGTTGCAGGATTGGAGGGGCAAGCCCAATATCCCCAAAGTAGTGTCCACTTAAGATAAGTGCCTTGGGTCTTCAGAGTTACAGGACTGGAAGAGAAAACCCAGCATCCCCAATGTGTTTTTTCCCCAATGTTTTTGAGGTTTTTTATGGAGTGGACAGAAATCTGAAAATTGATGATTTCAAGAGAAAAGACAAGAAGGAACGTGTGATGGGATGTGAGAAACGATACAATTTGCTTTCTAATGCAAAAGGACAAAACACCACGGATCTGTGACACTCCCACCTCCCCAAGTGGGATAACATCCCCAGAGGATCAGTCAAAGGGGAAGCTCCACTTGTTTCCTTTCAACAGAATTTTTACAGAGCCCCCATTTCTAACAAGGATTCCTTTTTCTCCCTATCTGGACTTATTTTTGTGTTGTTAGCAACACCTGGTGGAGAAAAGGGAAAATATCAGAAGCAGGTTTTTATTTTATTTTTCAAAAGGCAAACAACTCTCTTTACATTGTTAATATGAACAGTGTAGACCCAAATAATGCAGATGAACTGCATTGAACTGCATTATATGAGTCTTACCATACAACACAGCTTCAAACTGCATTATATGGCAGTGTGGATAGAGCCTCAGTGTCTTCAAATGTGTTCAATGGCATTTACTTCTCCCATGAAGAGGCAATGAGGTTTGGTCAATGGCTCTTTGAACTTCAAATAAATAGCTCTAATCAAACTGCATTTAAGCACATGATATTTCAAGCCTTCAGATCAGAGAATGATAGAGTGAGGTTTCAAATAAATTAGAAATAAACAAGTTACCATAGATTTTGTTTGTTTGTTTGTTTGTTTTGCTTTCATTTTTTACAGGTCCTTCTCCATTCTCATACTTAGGCCCCTTCTACACTGCCATATACTCAAGATTATCAAAGAACATAGTCCAGATTTTTGCTTTGAACTGGATTATATAAATCTATGCTGCCATATAATCCAGTTCAAAGTAGATAATCTGGATTGTATATGGAAGTGTAGAAGGGGCCCCAGTCCCTAAACTCATCTTCACTGCCTTATAAAATCCAGATTATCTGCTTTGAACTGGATTATATTGCAGTGTAGATTCATAATCCAATTCAAAGCAGAAAATCTGGATTTTATATGACAGTGTAAGTGGGGCCTTAACGTTAGTTAGGCCCCACCTACACTTCCATATAGAACTCACATTATCAGCTTTGAACTGAATTATATGGCAGTGTTGACTAAGGCCCCTTCTACACTACCATATAAAATCCAGATTATCTGCTTTGAACTTAATTATATGGCAGTGTAGACTCATGTGGATTATCGTCTTTGATAATCTGGATTATATGGCAGTGTGGAAGGGCCTTAGTCAATACTGCCAGAAAATAAGTCAACACTGAATTTTATTAATATGTTATGGTGTTCATATGTCTCAATTATTGTGTGAGTTTATTGTTTGATTTGGTTGTATGTTTATCATTATTTGTATTGTTTTTTCTGTTGCAAGCCGCCCCCAGTACTTTTGGGGAGAGGGGGCAGGATATAAATAAAGCTATTATACACAACAAGATTAGTACACAGCAAACAAGATCACTATTCTGGCTTTTATATTCAATCACACGTTAGACACTTCCCAAGTGTGTGATGTATTGGCGAATAATGTGTGCAGATCCCAGTAAGGTGGCCTTCTGCAGCTGGCAGATGGTAATTTTATCAGCGCCAATTGTGTTTAAGTGCAGGCCAAGGTCTTTAGGCACTGCATCTAGTGTGCCTATCACCATTCGGACCACCTTTACTGGCTTGTGCCAGAGTCTTTGCAGTTCAATTTTTAAATCCTCATATCGTGTCAGCTTTTCCAGTTGTTTCTCTTCAATCCTGCTGTCACCTGGGATTGCAACATCAACAATCTATACTTTGTTTTTTAACACGATCGTGAGGTCAGGAGTATTATGCTCCAAAACTCTGTCTGTCTGAATTTGGAAGTCCCAGAATAGTTCATTTTCTGTAACTTTTTCCGGTTTGTGATCACACCAGTTCTTTGTCACAAGCAGATGGTATTTGTGGCACAAGTTCAAGTGAATCATCTGAACAACAGTGTTATGCCTCTGCTTCTAGTGCGATCTTCTTGTAGCAACAGAGCATGTGATCCATCATTTCTTCTGCTTCCTTGCAGAATCTACACTTGGCATCTGGTAGTCGACTTTTCGGTTCTGGCTTTGATGACATTTGTTCCAATTGCTTGTTCTTGGGCTGCACAAATCAGGCCCTCGGTTATTATTATTATTATTATTATTATTATTATTAGCAACAAAACAAAATGAGTACACAGCAAACAAGATCACTATGCTGGTTGTTGTATTAGATCAATTATTATTATTATTATTATTATTATTATTATTATTATTATTATTATTATGTGAAACACAACAAGATGAGTCCACAGAAGACACTCTGCTGGCTGTTGTATTGGATCACACGTCGGACACTTCCCAAGTGTCTAGGACTGTGTGATGTAGCGGCAAATAGTGCATGCAGATCCCAGTAAAGTGGCCTTCTACAGCTGGCAGATGGTAATTTTGTCAGCGCTGATTGTGTTTAAGTGCAGCCCAAGGTCTTTAAACACTGCACCCAGTGTACCAATCACTACTGGGACCACCTTTACTGGCTTGTTGTTGTTGTTGTTGTTGTTATAATCATTATTATTGAAGGGCCTTGGCAATCCTTCCTGGTGTCAGATACCATCATACATCATCTTATACAATTTTTCTTTCAAATCCTTCAGTGTAAATTTAAAATTCTTTGTCCAGACCCTTTTCCATTGTTCCATTTGCATTTCTTTACCAAAATGTTGTGCTCACTTAACTTAACCATATATTCGTTCACCGGTTTCTCCTCCATTTCAATTTTTAACAGCATCTTATACAACTTAGCAATTAAGCGGTTATCTCCAGAGTCTTAAATAATTTTAAGTTCAAGTTTATCGATTGCAAAACCAAGTAATTTTTTGCCTGTTTCAAATCGTTTCTAAAAATTCTCTGAAGGCCTTCCTTCAGTAACCATTTTTCTGAAATTATACTACATGGATTTGGAAGTCTTTCTCTACTTCCCGCTAACAGGAGTAGTGCCTGGCATAGGAAGTTAGGTTGTACCTACTCTGTAGAATTAATGTGGTTTGATACCACTTTAACTGCCATAATTCAAAGCTATGGACTCCTGGGAGCTGTAGTATGGCAAAGCACCAGCGCTCTTTGGCAGAGGAGGCTAAAGATCTTGTGTTGTCAAAGACTTTCATGGCCGGAATCACTGTGTTGCTGTTTTTCCAGGCTGTATGCCCATGTTCCAGAAGCATTCTCTCCTGACGTTTCACCCACATCTATGGCAGACATCCTCAGAGGTTGAGGGGTCTGGTGGAAACTGAGTCGCCTTCGGGCTGAAATGGGTGGGATAGAAATAATGTAAATAAATAATGTAAATAAATAAACTAGGCAAGTGAGGTTTATATCTCTGTGTAATGTCCAGGATGGGAGAAAGAACTCTTCTCTGCTTGAGGCAAGTGTGAATGTTGCAACTGGCCACCTTGAGTAGCATTTAATGGCCTTGCAGCTTCAAAGCCTGGCTGCTTCCTGCCTGGGGGAATCATTGTTGGGAGGTGATTAGCTAACACCTCCTAACAAAGGATTCCCCCTGGCAGGAAGGTGGCCAATTGTAACATTCACACCTGCTTCAAGCAGACAAGAGTTCTTTCTCGCACACTGGACATTCCACAGATATATAAACCCAAATTGCCTAGTTTCCAACAGACCTCACAACCTCTGAGGATGCCTGCCATAGATGTGGGAGAGACGTCAGGAGAGAATGCTTCTGGAACATGGTGTTATTGTCGAATGTTTATTGCTATTGTTTTAATGTTTATTACTTGTTTTATGAGTTTATTTATTGTTGTATTTGTTATGCTGTTTTATTGATGTGTTGGGCCTCGGCCTCTTGTAAGCCGCACCGAGTCTTTCGGGAGATGTTAGCGGGGTATAAATCATAGAATCATAGAAAAATAGATTCAAAGAGTTGGAAGAGACCTCATGGGCCATCCAGTCCAACCCCCTGCCAAGAAGCAGGAATATTGCATTCAAATCACCCCTGACAGACGGCCATCCAGCCTCTGTTTAAAAGCTTCCAAAGAAGGAGCCTCCACCACACTCCGGGGCAGAGAGTTCCACCGCTGAACGGCTCTCACAGTCAGGAAGTTCTTCCTCATGTTCAGATGGAATCTCCTCTCTTGTAGTTTGAAGCCATTGTTCTGCGTCCTAGTCTCGAAGGAAGCAGAAAACAAACTTGCTCCCTCCTCCCTGTGGCTTATTCTTATTCTTATTCTTATTATTATACAGCCCGAAAAACTTACAGCAACCCAGCTAAAGATCTTGTAAAACTACAACTCTCACGATTCCATCTCATTGAGCCCTGGCAACAAAACATCTTCCTACCCACCTCTGCTGAAATCAGCACAAACTCAGAACGTTTGACAAACAGGGTAATATGTCCCTCAAGCGCCACCGTAGGGAAGAAGAAAAAACCCATGAGAGTGGTTTGTCTCCTTTCGGTTTCCGTAGTTCAGAGATAAACATGGCCGAGTATTCCTGTGTCAAGAAAACGAAGCTGGTTCTGAAGGGAACCAAATCAAAAAGGTACGTTTTCCCCATGTTTTGGATACGAGGGAAGGAGGAGACGAGGATCTTCTCCCTTTGAGCAACCCAGATTCAACCTACAGCTTCCTCCCGCATTGTTTGCTTATTGTCAAAGCTCCTTCTGGGTTCTTGTAGGTTTTTTCGGGCTATATGGCCATGTTCTAGAGGCATTTTCTCCTGACGTTTCGCCTGCATCTATGGCAAGCATCCTCGGAGCTCCTTCGCTTCGTCGTCGTCTTCTTTCTCCTCCTCTTCCCTCGCCATCCTTTTTTTCCATGCTGCAAATTCAAAGCAAGGACAACTTTGTTACTGAAGCCTATGGCCCCTTCCACACAGCTGTATAAAATCCCACATTATCTGCTTTGAACCGTATTATATGGCAGTGTGGACTCAGATAACCCAGTTCAGAGCAGATATTGTGGATTATCTGCCTTGATATTCTGGGTTATAAGACTGTGTGGAAGGGCTCAATGAAATGCTCTAGCCAGTTTTTGCTAAAAAGTAGAGCTTAGAAAAAGTGGATAAAAGTACCTTTTGCATTTAGTTTTTCAATAAATATCTCATCGAGTCTCAATCAATTCAACCTAGTTTGTGGCAGCCACAAAAGCAAAGTTTCTGGAGTGTAACAACTACTTTAAAAGCAAATACTGTACAATGTATTGTCGAAGGCTTTCATGGCCGGAATCACTGGGTTGTTGTAGGTTTTTTCGGGCTATATAGCCATGTTCTAGAGGCATTTTCTCCTGACGTTTTGCCTGCGTCTATGGCAAGCATCCTCAGAGGTAGTGAGGTGATATACTGTACAATTCAACAGGAAATAACACTTTCTTTTTTTAAAAAAAAAATCTTTATTAGAAAATTCCCAGTTTACGTAAAAAGGGGAGAGAGGAGAAGTTGTATGGGAAAGGAAAAGTCTGTGGGAGGTTAGAAGGAAAAGGGGCAAAAGTGAGGGGGTGTTTGGGATTGGGTAAGGGTCAAATATAAGGATGGAATTTTAGGATGGTGGGAGGGATAAGCTGTTGACTTCCTGTCTTCTCATTTATGGGATATTGCATCTTTTCTCTCTTCTTCTATGTTTAATCCTCTTTTTCTTCAAAATTAAAGGGGCTGTCCACAATACAATTATGTCCATATTTCCATATTTCCATTTATTCTTTTACCATAAACCCTATTAGTAAACTCCAATCTACTTTTATTTTGGTATGTTTATTTCTTAATCGATATTTCAGTTCAAAACAGATGATGTGATATTTCATTCAGCTGTTTGGAAGGGGCCCCAGATAGAGATTTCCAAACTTTTCATGTTGATGACACATGTGGCAACATTCATCCTTTGTTTACATGGTAATTCAGTTTAATTAGCAAACCAGAAGTTAAACCAAACTCTTATAAAATTTTATATATCTATATATACACACACACACACACTTCATATAATCTTTACTGTATAAAGAATTCTTATGTAGTTTCCTTTATAGCTGATACATGTAGTTCATCACAAACATAAAAAGTTTTTATTTTTGAAATTAGAAAAGTATCCATGTAGTGGCAGTTAATGCAGCTCAATCAACAAATTGGTAAATAACAAAAGTTATAATAGAATCTACACTTGAACAGACTTCTGTAGTGATTAAACCTCTGAATGTTTTTGAGTAGAGGCTGGATAGCCCTCCATGGGTTCTTTGACTGTGTCGTCCTGGCTGGCTGAAGGAGGCCAAGGGCCAAGAAGAGGAGGAAGGGGGGTTGTCTCCCAGTAGCCAAAGCAGGGCCTGTGGAGGGGGAACATTATTATATGTATGATTATACATGATAGCCATGTAAAAATATGTGAGAGGAAGTCATAGGGAGGAGGGATTAAGCTTGTTTTCTGCTGCCCTGGAGACTAGGACACGGAACAATGGCTTCAAACTACAAGAAAGGAGATTCCATCTGAACATTAGGAAGAACTTCCTGACTGTGAGAGCCGTTCAGCAGTGGAACTCTCTGCCCCAGAGTGTGGTAGAGGCTCCTTCTTTGGAAGCTTTTAAACAGAGGCTGGATGGCCATCTATCAGGTGTGCTTTGAATGCGATTTTCCTGCTTCTTGGCAGGGGGTTGGACTGGATGGCCCGTGAGGTCTCTTCCAACTCTATGATTCTATGATGAGTCAGGCTATCTATATTTCTAATTTCTAGCATTTTGGTTTACCACTCTTTTCTACTTGGGATTTCTTCTCTTCTTCAATGTCGGCCATATACTATTCTAGCTGCAGATGTTATGTAGCTAAAGAGAATATCCTTACTGCTATCCAAATCAACACTTTCAAACCAAGAACAGAAAATCTTTCAAATTTGGTACGGAATGTAATTGGACTAGATATCCCACAGGTTTTGGTTTCTTCTAAGGGTTTTTGAACTAAAACATATAACCCAATATCACGGGCCCATTATAGGATGATTTTCTTCATAAAAATAGCAATTCAAAAGCACAATGAAACTTTCTGATCTATGAAATCATAGTTAGAAGAATCATAGAGTTAGAAGAGCGTGGGCCATCCAGTCCAGCCCCCTGGCATGCAGGAAAAGCACAATCAAAGCACCCCTGACAAATGGCCATCCAGCCTCTGTTTAAAAGCCTCCAAGGAAGGAGCTTCCACCACAGTCCGAGGCAGAGAGTTCCACTGCTGAACGGCTCATGTGGTCAGGAAGTTCTTCCTAATGTACGAGTGGAATCTCCCTTCCTGTTATTTGAACCCATCACTCCAAGTCCTAGTCCTTTCTTAGGTAGATCTTTCCCCAAATATTAATATTTTTCCTTTATTTCAGCCATCTTTATTTAGGGGTTGTGTGTGTATACTATTTCTTATCTGTTATCTCCTATTTGGAAATCCTTAGTCCAAGTTTAAAAATAGGGATGACTTAGCATGATGAGCAGATGCTATGATTTAAGAAAGGTTGTGAGCTGTCTAGAATTGTATCAAGTAAAGCGCACAGCTGATTTATCCTTTTGTATCATTTTGCAGTAAGAAAAGCAACAAAGATAAAAAAAGAAAAAGAGAAGAAAATGTTGAGGATCAGCTTGATATTGTTGGTAAGTTTCTTCACAAAACTGTTAATGTTTTTCATTGTGGGCAGGAGGAGTCTTGTGGTTACTGTGCATTTGTTTTTTTGTTTTTTTAAATGAAACAGAAAAAGTAATTTTGTTAAATATTTCAGTCATATTTTTATTCCACCCTGTGTCCTTTATATACATGTTTTGTCACTTGGCTTGCATTGTATGAAGACAAACTGGTCTAAATAGAGGCTGGGTGGCCTTCTGTCAGGAATGCATATCTTTATTTATTAATGGCAGTTATATTTTACCATTCTTACAAGTGGTGATGTACATTGTTCTTTCACACCTTTTACATTTGTTGTGATGAATTAGACTGAGAGATTGCGATTGTCCCAGAGTATCTGGTCTGCTTGATGCTGAGTGGAGGATTGAACCTTAGTTTCTCCATTTCTAAACTTGACACCTACCTTTACAACATGCTTTCATGCAGGATCTCCAGTTGTGTTCTGTCACTGCTGTAATTGAAAAGGCATGGGCTGCTAATTAACAAGGTGTTGCTACTGCAGAGTTCTATGATATTCAGCGCAATATGATCGAACTATCAGATATATTGTGTTTTTATTTGTGAATTGCCAATTTGGTATTCAAGCCAACATTAATTGTATTTCCTGTGCATCTTTTTGTTTCTTTGTTTCTTTGTTTGTTTGATTGATTATCTAGTACATATGCCACCAGAGGAGGACCCAAGGAACTTTAAAAAAAAACAATAAGTTGAAACAGTTGCCATACAATCTAAAAATAATTAAGAGATCTGAAATATGAAGTCATATACATTAAAAAGTTGGGGTGGCATTCCAAAAAAGAAATATTATGCAATGATCTGTTCAATGTGTGAATACATTCTTAATGATAATTTGTAACATTGTTGATTAAATGTCTGTCCTTATGCATTATGCTTGGTCTTTGTTTAAAATAAAACATTACAAGGGAAAGCTGCATTCTTGGTGCCCCCAAATCTTTCTCTGTTAGCAATCACTATCTATTTTTATAGTGTGAATCAGGCAACAGATGTTTTGTTCTTGTTCCCTCTCTTATTTTAGAAGGCTGGTGGAAAGTAAAAAACTTTGGTGAAATCACAGGAACTGTAGCAATTGAAATGGGCCTTGGAACATATATCAGTGCTCTTGACAATGGTCTCTTTACTCTTGGGGCCCCTCACAAAGGTTGGTATCAGAAAATGTGGAAATAAATGTTATGTCTTTCCTCTTTATCCCAAAGCTTTACTTTTTAGAGTAGTGGTTCCTAATTTGTGGTTCATGGACCACTAGTGGTCTGCAAGAATTAAAATATGGTCCACAGCTTCACAATTACTACACCATTGCAATGCAAATGGCAAAACCCTCTTACAGTGCCGAGGCTTAATAATTTTGGTTTTCTATGGGTAAGCAGATAGCAAATACTGGGTGGCATATGTTCTGTATCAGAAACTAGAGCTGATGTAGTCTATCCAATGCAATTTTCTGAATCGGCACCCCAAATAAACAAACTGAATCTAAAGTTGATCAAAAACTGATTCATAACCCTTTTGGTACTAATGTTGGTGAGTAGTCCCTGGTCAAGTGGTCCTTGGCCAAAAAAAGGTTGGGAACCACTGTTTTAGACCGTACTAGATGCCTCTCCCAGCACACAAACAGCCCCAAGCCTCAGTCATTTGCAAGATGGCGACCCAGAAACATAAAGCATTTTTTATTCTGCAGTTCAGCAAAACTGAATCCATAATTCCGGTGCAGCATGTTTCATCTAGATTTTGGCATTGATCCACAAATTCCTACGATCATTTGTTGTTGGTACCAACAGTTTGAGGAAAGAGGTTATTTATGATGTATGGGAAAGATGAATTGGGTCCATCAAAAGATGTCTTGCCAATAATACACTTTTAACAAGTGTGTGGAAAATTACTTATTAAGATGGCAATAGCCAAAATCTCCCAAGGAGTTTAATTGCTGTAAACCACAATAATAACTTCCCCATATTCTGTTATTGACACATGACGCTCTTCCACCAAGCAACCTGGGATTTGTCATTCTGGTTGAGATGAAGTGCTAAATTGGATTGCTGGCATGCACTCAAAAAGAATCAAGCCTTGAACAATGTTTGTGTAGTACATTTTATTGATTAGCCCATTAGTCGTATCAAAACACTTGACAAACATTTTAACACATACACAACAATATTTGTGATTTCAGTTACTTAGGCAGTCATGCTCTGTATTACTTTTCTGTCAGTTACATGATAATGTATCTAGACTGTAGGCTGCTTATTTTGTAAGCCAATTGAAGGTGGATTCGGTTACATGAGAAGAGTTTTGAATATCGCAGAATCATACTGAAGGACCTAGTAATGCCTAAAAAAGTGTTCTCTCTAGACTTCCAGCAGAATTTTATAGTCAACGTCTTGTCAGCCATTCTACTAGAAGTTGACTATAAAATCATGTCGGGGGCTTAGAGAGAACACTTCTTCAGCCATGGCTGGGTCCTCCAGCACAATTCTGTGGTATGTTTCAGCTGGAAGCCTAAGACATTAATTTAGGTAAGAAAAATAGGGCTCCAGATTATACTTGAAAATCTTATAATACAAGGATCTACTGTTCATCTTGTGCTGTAAGACCAGGGAGAAAATGTATGTTCTTCAGTTGTTGCATAAAGCTTGCTATAATTGCTATAAAATTGGCTTATTATTTATTTGATATGGAAGTATGTGATTAGAATGATAAATTAGACACCTTGCAAAGCTATTAAGGCTTCGGTGCATTCTTTGAATGATCTGCAGCAGTAATTGTTAACAAGATTCAGTTTTAAGCAAACTATCATCTAATGTGTTTTTAATATCTTCAGATGAAGGCCCTAGCCCACCTGAACAATTTACTGCTGTCAAGCTGTCTGATACAAGGTAATTACCCTCCTCAGCTTTCAATTACCGTTGAGTTAATCACGCTTTCATGGATTTTGATAGAAAATAATGTCTGAGATGGATTATCTCTTCCAAAATCTCTTTTTTAACCATAGCATAGAAAAAATATTACTCTTCTCTCTGTGTTTAAGGTGTATATATACTCCTAATCATGTTCTGTTGCAGAATATTTCTTGTTCTTGTCCTATGGGGAGGATTCCTTTAAGCCAGGTCTTCTTAAACTTTTCCATTTGCAAACCCTTTCTGCCCAATAAGCTTTTATGGGACCCGGCTATATCTATATAAATAAAAATATAATGTTCGTTTGCGATATTAACAGAACTCAAAAACCAGTGGGCGAATTGACACCAAATTTGGACAGAAGACACCTCCCAGGCCAATGTATGTCCTTCACTCAAAAAAACAGCAAAAAACAACAGGAAATGGACTTTAAAAAACCCCGAAATAGTACACATGCGCAAAAAGACTTCCCTGGCCTCGCCCTCTCCAGTGCGAGGGAAAAGCACGTGGCCACACACACCCAACTGTCACAATGGCAAGGGAGGCAAAAAGGAAGAAGGAGGCCACCTTCCCTCAGGCGGAGGATCTCCACTTACTCCTCTTCCTCCCTGGTACCAGGAGAGAGAGAGAAAGATTGAGAGGGGGGGGCAAGGAATCCAGTCAGGGAGGCAAGCAGTGCCCGGGCTTGGCTGGCCTTCTGCAGCCGTCGCTGTGGAGAAGGGGCGGCCCACCCACACCTCTTGGGAGGCGAAGGGGGCAAGTCCACAGCAGCGACTGCCTGCGGAGAGAAACCCCAGCTGCGGGGCAGCCGTAGCCACAGAAGCCTGTATGTACAGACTTTGGGACTGGCATCCCTTCTCCTTCTGTTTCCCCTCTGCCTTGGCCTGACTTCCTCCCCTCCCTTCTCCTAATGTTTTGAGCTTCTATCTCTCCCCCCCCCCCCCCCAACTAAACACTCATTCCTCAGGCATGGATGAAAAGGGGAGGGGAAAAAACTCCAGAACCAAGGCTGAAAAGAAGCCCCAACACATTTGCATCCTCCCAAGCAAAATGAGAAAGGGACCCACCTGAAGTCCTGGCCTGCCTTGCTCCCTCCCTCCCTCTTTCCCCTCCTTTTCTTCCCTCTCTTTGGGCAGATGCCCACAAGGTCTGCTTAGAAAACTCAGGAACCCAATCTGCCATCTGCTCTGGGTTTTAGTCAAAACTTTAAAGGAGCCATTCCAGAGTGAACTCAGCCTTGCTCCTTCTTCCCCTTGAAGAAAGAAAGAATAGAACAAGGGTCTGGACTACACTCCAGGAAAGGTTCCCCCCCCCCCATTCCTGCCTGGAGACCCCCATTGGCCCACCAAGAAGTTTACTGTCCATTCTTTCCCAATACACGCACACATATATACACACATCTATATACACACATAAATATACACATACATAAATACACGTGCATATACACATACAAACACATACATATATACATATACACATGCACACAGAAATATATATATACACACACACACACAAGCACACACATACACAATATACATATACAGATATACACACACAAATACACATATGTAGACACACACACATATATACACACACAAAATACATAGACTCAAACTGGGCCACAGCAACGTGTGGCAGGGGACAGCTAGTAGGTATATAAAATAGCGTAAAAAAGCAAACATTTACTGATAACAAATCTGCATTTTCAAAGCTATCTAAACAGGCTGATTTTCATATTTATGAAGTACAGCTAAAGCATTTTCTGCAGTCCACTGGAAACACCGCACAAATATTATAGATGAAGGCATAGTCACTCTCTGTCCTTGATGTTATAACTCCTCCTCCCCCCCCCCCCAACATTTAAATGTTCTGGAAACTTTCTTCCATCTAATTATTCTGGGTCATGTTGCAGAGCGTATGGGGGGCATATGATCTACCAGAAATTGTTGGGCTGCATCTTCCATTAAACCCACAGTTCCCTGAACCATTGGCTATACTGGTGAGGGGAACTGCAGGTCTGTAGCATTTGCAGGACTGTAATTCACTCCTGCTTCTATAGTGAGTTCAAATGAAGGCCAGGCTTGTTGGTGAGTGTACCCTAGAACACTGCTTCTTAATCTTTGGGACCTGACCCCCAAAGGAATCCCATAAGTGAAAATGTGGGTCAGAAAAAATATGAAACCACTAAAAGGTTTCTGAAAAACAGCATTAATCCAAATGCCTTAGCAATTTAGATTAATGTAAAGCTGTGCTTCATAAAAAGGAAAATCAGCATGTTTAGCAAACATTGCAAATGCTGATTTATTATCAGTAAATGTTTTATACCTGGGGCCGCATACAATTTCTTGGGCAGAAAGGGGTCGCAAATGGGAAAAGCTTTGAAAGCCCTGCCCTAAAACACATCAGCCCTTCTGTCTTTCAGTGACATTTTCTCTCCCTTGTCACTTTTTCCACACTGTGAACAGAAAAAACGTATTTGATGAGTTTTCAGAATACTGCACTGTTTCTTGCAACACAGTTTGTCAAACCATCAACCTCAGTAAATGTCTAATTGATTGATAATGTGTTTTTTTCTCCCTTTAAGAATTGCTTTGAAGTCAGGCTATGGCAAATATCTTGGCATTAATTCAGATGGATTGGTTATTGGGCGTTCTGATGCAATAGGTTCAAGAGAGCAGTGGGAGCCCGTATTTGAAGAGGCAAGTGTCTTCAGCTATTCAAAAGTAACTCCCAGTGCATGCTTTCTTGAGTTTGAATTGTATCTCATCTTTTGGATCTAGAAGCACAAGTTTAAGGGTAGAGATGTAAAAATGTCCCATCTGTTGCCGCTCCACTTAAATATCAGATAGCAAATGAAAAGACTCCTTCAAAATAGTAATATGTAACCATTTTTTAAAAAAAAAATGTTCCTGGTTTGAAAGTGTTATTTCATGTTTAATTGTGCAGTCCTTACTACCAAAGTAGTTGTTATACTCCAGAAACTTTTTTTTGTGGCCAAGGGTAGTATTTTTATTTCTTTCAGTCTGAGCACTTCGTTTGTAATTTTCCTTAATAAAAATATAACCTTTAACCTTTCATTGTGCAATGTTTTGCAGCTTAATAAACTTTTTCCATGTTTTCATGATAGAACCAATTAGGAAATGACATTCATAACCCAGGAACAAAAACTGTGTTACTTAGTGTAATTTTTAACTTGGTTAAACTTAGAGCTAACATTAATTTAGTAGTGCAAATTTGCATTCCAAATCACATTTTCACCTTCCACTATTGTGTTGTTCATTAAAAGTTCTGAGTTTGAAAAAGTTGTGAGTTTGGGGAAAAAAGAGGCATGACTGTAGGTTTCAAACTGAAATGTGTGGGTTTGTCAGCCATGTAATATTAATCACGGATAGTGAAAAAATACAAAAAAGCTTGTAATAGCATTATCATAACTTGGCTTGATGTTGTTTGTTGCTGTTTTTAATGCAGGGGAAAATGGCTCTGTTAGCAGCAAACAGCTGCTTTATCAGCTGTAATGAAGAAGGTGATATAGTAGCCAAAAGTAAAACAGCAGGAGATGAGGAAATGATTAAGGTAATTTGAAAGGACTGTAAATATTCCTCTTATATTGGTTTATATGGATATTTAAAATAAACATGTAGCACACCTTGATGTGGAATTTCATCAGTGGAAATCACTGATTTTAAAACAAACAGAGACTATAACAATACATTGTCTAAGCTGGCTTTTAACCGAAAGACTCATGCTTTCACATACAGCTTTCACAAGAGGAGTCAAGCTGAATTCATCCTCAGGCTGCAGCTTGAGCTGATCAAATTCTAGTGTTCTGCAACTACTATATCAGTTTGATTCCAAGAAGGACTGGGGATCCAGTTTCCTTTCTGTTACTAGGTAGACGCAGTTGGATTTCACCCTGTGTCTACATAATAGTTTTACTTCTCACATGTTGGAAACTATATATCCAGGGATGTTTCCAGATTTCCTGCTTTCACATACAGTAAACACAATTTCTTCATCATCAATTTGCTGTACTGCTTGTAATACAGAATGGTGGACAATTTGGCGGTATATTTACAAAGAGTTATTTATATTTATGTTTGGTGGTATGGTATGATATGAAGATGATACTATTTCACAGTGCACTTAAAATCTTTCTTATGAAATCTTGTCAAAGCACTTCCTTGACTTACTGATGTCACAGTTATGTTCTCATGTTCTCATCCGAGGCGATACAATTTGTGGAAAATATCCTTTATTTTGGAGAAAACATTAAGAAGTTTGGCATCTGGCTTTTGGAGAGCTAAATTCAGTTTATGTTGGAAACAAGTGGCTCACCACTACCCTGGACTGGATTTCCCCCCAGAATATCTATCCTGAGACTCTTTTCATTCTCTAGTCCAAGCAGAGAGAGCAGGAGACGCCATACAAAAGTGACAAAAGCGGGTTGCTCCTTGACTGAAACTTTAATTCTGCCAAAGATCCAGGGGAACTGAAAGTGCTCCCTAACCCTTGACATATGCTCATTTCTATATTAATCATCATTTAAGTAAATTAGGGCCCTTCTACACTTCCATATAAAATACAGATTATTTGCTTTGAATTGGATTGTATGACAATGTAGACTCATATAATCCAATTCAAAGCAGATAATGTGGATTATCTACTTCGATAATCTGGATTATATGGCAGTGTAGAAGGGGCCTTAGTTTCATCAATGGGATTTCCATAAGTCTTGAATTACTACCCTGTCAGAGGTGCTTTGATTATGCTTTTCCTGCATGGCAGGGAGTTGGAGTAAATGGCCCATGTGGTCTCTTCCAACTCTTACAATTTTATGAATCTAGCTACAAATACCAATTGAATTGAGATCTAACTTTTTTTAATCTTCTCTTGCATTAGATCAGAATGTGTGCAGAAAGAGAAGCCAAGGAAAAAGATGACATTCCAGACGAAGATAAAGGAAACATTAAGCAATGTGAAATAAACTATGTGTATGTAATTTTTTTAAAGTAAGCTTTATTGGAGCATGGATTATCCTTTGTGTTCCGAATGGAATGCCAAAGCTCTAGTTTTGATAGCTATATAAACTATGCTTTCTGTGAAGCTAGGCAAACCTGGTTTTTTAACATGCTAGTGTTCATTTTCAATCCCATGGATTTTGTTTTAAAGAACAACTTGCGCTCACAGGGCAGGAGATGATTTTGCTAGTAGATTGAATAATTACATCTCTGGTCTGTATTTTCCTTTTCAGGAAGAAATTCCAGAGTTTTCAAGATCGCAAACTCAAAGTAAGCCAAGAAGATAGTAAAGTCCTGAAAAAAGCTAGGAAAGAAGGCTCTTTTCATGAGGCATTGTTGGACAGGTACTCTTCCCATTCAAATAGAATTGTCATTTAATAGCCTCAAGTAACAGTGACTTGAGGATGGGCTCCTAATCAGCTTTATACTTATTAATGGAACATCTTACATTTGTTTCCTCTGTCTCTCAGGCATTTATCCCAAAACAACTTAAACCAAGTGGGAATTTCATCCTCCCAAATTGGTGTACTTCATTGCATATTAAGATATTTGAGAATGACTTTGTGGTTTCATATTTAGAAAAAAAATGCATAATTAGTGAATGTATGAATGTAACTCCACACTGAGTGACCACTCTAAGATCCAACAGATCCCTTATTCCTCCTTCAGTTCTTACACGTGTGATAGTCATGCATTTTCCTCAACAGCAGTTTGCGTTGGATGCAGAAGAAATGATGCATGTTATTCTCTCATTCCATGGAATCACCATTATGTTGGAAATGGGTGCTACAGCATTCTTGTTCTTATGGGAATCCTTCCATCGCCTTATGGAAAGTGATCATGCCCCAGATTTGCCTTTAAAAAACAAACAAATTACCCTATTAACCATATAGCTTTGGGTTGCTGTAATTTTTCCAGGTTGTATGGCCATGTTCCAGAAGCATTCTCTCCTGACGTTTCACCCACATCTATAGCAGGCATCCTCAGAGGTTGAGGGGGGGTGTTGGAAACTACGCAAGTGAGGTTTATATATCTGTGGAATGTCCAGGGTGGGAGAAAGAACACTTGTCTGCTTGAGGCAAGTGTGAATGTTTCAATTGGCCACCTTGATTAACATTTAATAGATTTGCAGCTTCAAAGCCTGGCTGGTTGCTTCCTGGGGAATCCTTTGTTGGAGGTGTTAGCTGGCCCTGATTGATTCTTGTCTGGAATTCCCCTTGGAATCATATAGCTTTGGTTCCAATGTAGTTGTGGGACTATACTATTCGATACCTGCTGTCACTTAAAAATCTGTCTTCACTCCACTTGCAACTTCAACATTTTGTAAAAGATTTTCTGGATTTATTCAAGTTGAGAGACTTCAGCTATAACTAGACATATTGACAAATGTGCCTGCATATTGTGAAAAGAACCATATATAGATATTTGCTCTGCCATTTCAGCTGGTTGCAACTATGGAACAGAATGTGATGTAATGAGGTTAAGGCAATATTGTATTGTGGTTGTGTGCTTCAGGTTGTTTATAACTTACGGTGACCTTAACAGAAAACCGTCATGGGGGTTTTCTTAGCAAGGTTTGCTCAAAAGGGATTTGCCTTTGCCTTCATCTGAGGCTGAGAATGTGATTTGCCCAGGGTGACCCAGCGGGCTTTTATGGCCAAGCAGGGATTTGAACCCTATATCCACTACACCATATTGGCTCTCACTAAGTAATACACAAAGGCCTAAATAACCTGAAGTCACCAGATCCCATCAGATTTTGGAAATCAAGTAAGATCAGCCCTGGTTAGAACTTAGATGAGACATGACTAAACCAGGTGCTGTAGGCTACATTTCAATGCCAAACCACTTCTGAGGACTTCTTGCCTAAGACCAAGGCTATTCATAAGGTTGCTATAAGTCAGTAGGTGCACATAACAACACAATATCCGAATTCAGTGCAATACATGATTGTTTATAAATGCATTGTATGTGTATGCCAGTGGTTTTATGTATCCTTGTTTTCTCCCCTTTTCGTTCTAGGAGATCAAAATTGAAAGCTGATCGATACTGCAAGTAGCTGAAACGACAGCTGTCTATATTCCCTCTGTTGGTGGCTCTTTTGTTGGTGACTCTTTTGTATATAAATTGTTTTTAAAATCATTCTGGTTGGAATAAATTTCAATCACTCTGAAATTTTGTTCCTATTTTTTTGTAATTGTTCATGTCATTATTCTGAAAATGCCCATGTTCCCACTTGAAGCCATTGTATTTACTCCAAACTAATACTGTAAACACAAGCAATAGGCTTTTGAAGCTTGTGCAAAGGTTGGCAAATGTTGCTAGTGGGAGGCTTGGTGAAATGCTGAAAGACTGTAATTGGAGAGTTGCAGAAAAATATCTCCTTGTCCAGTCAAGTACAGCTTATAATTTCAAGATAAACAATCCAAAAATAAAGCTGTTCAGAGGCTACAAAAGCTGTAAGAGAAGAAAGAGAAGCAGAGTAGGAATGTCGAGATGAAGACTATGAACACTAGGGTTGTGCACAGATCCATTTTGAAAAATGGGCTCCGGCTGGTTCGGCCATCCATAATGGCACAAGCTCCGCCGCAATTTTTTTTTCAGCCGTAATATTATTTTATTTTTATTATTTATTTCAAATATTTATACCCCGCCCTTAGATGTCCCTATATACACATAATAAAACACAATAATTACATATAAATAAAACATTAAATCAATTCAATTTAAAACTGTTTAAAACATTATAGCCTGGTGGCCTAATCTAAGCCGAATTCTGTCTATTTCCATTGTCATCATTACCATTGTCATTGTCAGCATGTTACCCGAAGGACTGGTCCCACAACCATGTTTTTAACTTCTTTCTGAAGGAAAGGAGAGATGTGGATAACCTAATTTTGCTGGAGAGCAAATTCCACAGGCGGGAGGCCACCACCAAGAAGGCCCTGTCCCTTGTCCCCGCCAAATGTGTTTGTGACAGTCCATGTGATTGCCGAAAACTGCACAGAGGCAGCCATGGGCAGGCACGTGGGTTTCCCTGTGAACCCTGCCTGTTGAGCCAATCCTATTTTTTATCCAGCCTGGACTTCCATTTTTCTGTTGCCAGCAGGCTTCTCACAACTCTGCATGGCTTGGCTTGCTTTTTGACTCAAATAGCAACAATAAGCAATTTACTGCTACAGATGGTGCCCTTCGCAGAATACAAGCTTCAAATGAGGGGTATAGAGGTATCTTACCATTTCTAAAGCCACCATAAAATGAGGAGGTAACTTATATCTTTTCATAATAATGGCTAATGCTCTTTCAAGTGGTGTGGTATGGAAATTAATTCCTTTCTCTTTTCTTGATACCTTTGACAACAACTTTTACCTATGTCTTCTGTTGCCTGCTTCCATCCCTTGTTACTTTCCCCCTAACACGTTGTTTCTTTTTTCTGTCCTCTATGACTTTTCTCTTTTCTTACCCTACATAGCTTTAACTTTTCAAGGCTATATGAACACAGTTAACTCTGACATTATCTAACCTACCTTTAAGAGAATCTCTGTTGAGGCAGTGTTCATCTTTCACATACATACCTAACTTGTTTTTCTGTTGTTATGCTTCACTTTTGATGTTCTTCAGAACCACTTCTGCTGGAAAGGGGAAGGCATGTAAACCTATAGTGAAGAGAGACTATTTTTATTTACTTACTTAGTTGGCTTCCGCTGTCTTATCACTAAAGTTTGTGACCAAATCTTGTAGAAAATCTGAGAGATGTCAATTTAGCTGAAAAATAAATTCATCATGCAGTGGAGAAATATCAGATGAAAAGATCTGGGAATACTGTTAATCACATTTTGCCAGAACAATGCCATATTGAAAATATGTGGCGCAAATACAGCCACATATCAGCAGAGGGCCCCTGTATTCAGGTGCCAAAAATGGTCTCTACAAGCTAAAAAGGAGAAATCATCCATTTCATCATCTATGGCCCCTTCTACACTGCCATATAATCCAGATTATCAAAGCAGATGATGACGATGATGTAGTCTAAGGCTTTCATGGCTGGAATCTTTCATTCCGACCAACCATGCTTGAGACAGGGTTAGGACCAAGAGCAGTGCCTGGGCTGGTTTATATATGAAGATGCGGTTAATGAAATAGTCTGGGCCCGAACCATTTATCTGCTTTGAACTGAATCCACATTATCTGTTTTGAACTGGATTATCTGAGTTTACACTGGTATATAATCCAATTCAAAGCAGATAATCTGGATTTTATGTCACGGTGTAGATTGGGCCTATGATAGCTGTTTGTTGGAATCTCTTGTAGTGTATAACATTCAGATAATATAGTGGGTTAGAAGCCGGCCATTCTGCTATAGAGATAATTATAGCAAGATGACTGCTGTATTGTTGATTGTGACATACATTTTAATAAAGGATAGCTGACAGAATGCAGTTTCTCCTTCACAATAGGAAATGGACCAGGAAAAATCTGAAAGTTGTGACAGTAACAGGAGTGGGTTCAATGTTCCCATTATCTTATTGTCAAAATATTACGCAGTAATCCTGAATCTGACACATCCCTCTTTAATTGTGGCAAATTATCAAAAGGTGTTGGCACTCTACTTCTCAGGATTTTTCAATATCTAAATAATGGTTCCGTGTCCCAAATGATTTACTAGCAATCCCTGTCATTTTCTTCCCACTCTCAGATGGGTTTCTTTTTTATTCTATGACAGATCAAAATAATATGTCCCCTTCTCTGCTCCTTTTTACTTTTTTGAAAATGTTTCTTTTAATTAGAGTTTGATTAGTGAAATAAGCATTTTGTACTACACCAACATGGCTTTAGAAATATAAGAAATAATTAAAAGAGCTCTTCAAGCCATATGACCACCTCAGAAAGCCAGGTATAAATAACCCGAGTGCAGTTTCACCTAACTGCTACAAACAACTTGCAAAAAGAATGGAGTGCATTGATAGGAAGGCAACAACTGACAATACAGAAAGGCCTATGGTTTAAGAAATCATATTGTTTGAGACCAGAAGCTCATACCCCCACCCAAAAAAAACATACATGTCTTCATTTCCATCTGAAGTTTAACTATAAGTTTTAACTCTGAAGCTAAGCTATCCCTTTGTCTAAAGCAGTGGTTCCCAACCTGTGGCCCGTGGACCACCAGTGGTCCACAAGAACTAAAATATGGTCAGTGGCCTCACTATTATTACACCGTTGCCTCAAAACCACACGGCAACGGGAGTGACTAGTCTCTTTCACAAAATCCTCTTATAGTACTGAGGCAATGGGGATGTCAGGAGGGGAGAGGCTGACTACTCACGAAAGATTACTACTACATCAGCTCTAGATTATTAAATTCTGTTTTCTGTGGGCGAGCAGATGGTGAGAACTGGATGGCATATGTTATATATCGGAAACTAGAGCTGATATGGTCTATCCAATGAAATTTTCTGAATCAGCATCCCAAATAACCAAACCGAATCTAAAGTTGACCAAAGCTGATTTGTAACCCTTTTGGTACTAATGTTGGAGAGTGGTCCCTGGTCAAGTGGTCGTGGTCAAAAAAAGGTTGGTAACCACTGGATTCTCAAGCTTGTATTCCAAATATAACTTCCAAGCGGGATAAGAATCAGTTGTCTGCAACTGATGCAGAGTTATTTGAATTATTTTGTTCAGACAAATTTGAACTGGTTTGTGGAGGCGGTACATTTTGCTAAACTGCATTTTATAGTCACAGCAACAAACTCGTATTAGGTGTGGTAGCACACCCTCAAGCCTGATCAAAAAGTGAATCCTAGATTTCAGGGCTGCCCCCTTTTCTCTACAAGTCAGTCAAAACGCATCCAACTGGTAGAAGCAGAAGGTTGTGGCAAGGAATTTCAAAGCATGAGGTGAAGAGGCAGAAGCATCCTTTTCTTTATACTGTAAACATTCCAGTCTCCCTCCCTCTCTTGTTGTCTCTTCCTCTCTATCTTCATGAAGCCAAATATACTAGGAATAAAAAACCCACAAAATCAACTAACCCAAAGTTCTCAAAGCAGGCAAGAGTGAAGTAGACAGCAATCTCTCAAAGCAAACAAGAGCATGAGGCACACACAATCTGAGAAACTAACTGACAATACTTTTAAGAAGTTTGTATATGGCAATATTACCAGCTTGAGGCCCTAAAGCCCTGTACTTTCAAGCTCCCTCTGATGCTAACGTTCCCACTGGAGCTAGCTCTTAACTCAAAATGCTGCTTGTATATCAAAGCAAAACCCGGCTGTGCGACGGTTCAACTGTATAGCCTCCAGCGATGCTGATCCTGAGTACCCTTTTTTCTGCACTGTCAAGATGCACACACAATCTGAGAAACTAACTGACAATACTGTTAAGAAGTTTGTATATGGCAATATTACCAGCTTTGCAAGTTTTCCTGGGACATAAAGAACAAGGTTTAAAAACAAGGAGCAAGCAAAGAAAACCAGTTTGTAGTAGCAATTTCTGCAGGTATTCCAGTTAGACCTGTTTTGCTGAAGTCACACTGTTTCTCATGTTATTTAAATAGCAACATTGCTCCTATAAATAATTATGAAAAATATCACTTATGCAATTTTTCCGATTGCAAAATCTAAAACATATTAATTGTAATTGATGATGGAGACATCCTAAGGGAATTTCAGTTATATTTATTGGTAACAAACAGTATGGGTTGTTGTAGGTTTTTTGGGATGTATGGCCATGTTCTAGAAGCATTCTCTCCTGACATTTCGCCTGGATCTGTGGCAGGCATCCTCAGAGGTTGTAGGATCTCACAACCTCTGAGGATGCCTGCCATAGATGCAGGCAAAATGTCAGGACAAAATGCTTCTAGAACATGGCCATACAGCCTGAAAAACCTACAACAACCCAGTGATTCCGGCCATGAAAGCCTTCGACAATACAACAAACAGTATTTTTGCTGCTATTATTGTGTATTGAAGTAGTAGCCCATACAGTGCTTATTACGACCCAATTCTAGGTCCATTTTGTTGTTCATTCGTTCAGTCATCTCCAACTCTTCGTGACCTCATGGACCAGTCCACGCCAGAGCTCCCTGTCGGCCGTCACCACCCCCAGCTCCTTCAAGGTCAGTCCAGTCACTTCAAGGATGCCATCCATCCATCTTGCCCTTGGTCGGCCCCTCTTCCTTT